TTTCCTATCAAACAATATAAAGTTTGTGTTTAGAACAAGTAATTAAAATCTATTTAATTTCCCCCACTTTGCAAGACTTTTGCACAAATGTTTTAATTCTCCCCTGTTCAGCAAAACCTGTTCTTGCACAAAGGCCTGTAGTGGGAATCTAGTAGAGTCATTGTGTCTAGGGTAAATGGTAAAATGTAATAATTGTTTCTCACTGTATCTAGGGCTACAGTAGAAAGTATTAGTGTTTGTTGAAGGTGTAAGATTCAGAGCAAGTGACCCTGGCAGGTCTCACTACCAGTGAGGAGCTGGCTGAGGAGCACAGCAGGAAACAGAAGAATGCTTGGGGAGTATGGAGTTTTATTTAGGAAGAGGGTTTTGGGATGGTAGCGGGAAGGAAGGGAGAAATAGAGATAGAGGGAGATAGAGAGAGAGAGAGAAGAAAAAGAAAGAAAGAAAGAAGTTGGGGAGAGACAGAGCTGCTTCTTCAAAGGAAAGGCAGAGGAGAGAGAGTGACAGAGAAGAGAGCCCCCCCCCCCCACACAAAAAGCTTGCCTTGGTGGGAAGAGAGAGATTGGAAGTGGGTGGAGCTTGTCTCTTAAAGGGACAGGCTACTGTGTGGGTTCATCCTGCCAGGTGACAGGGAAGACCAGCATAATCCTAACAGAAGTTACCTAGACCTTAGTAGAGAGCAGCGATTCTTTTTGGTGATTTAGGGGTTTTCTGAGGAAGCTTATCATCCCTTGCATGACTTTAGTCACAAGACTATCCAGGGTACTGCAAACACTACACAATAAGAACTAAAGGCTTCGGACTGTGATGGCTTCCTTCATAGAACATATAGAATAGACCAAAGGGGCTTTGGTATGAGGGACTTGTTGTACCCCAAACACAACTTTTGTGTACAATCAATAAATATGCTTCTAAATGGAGGTTTGAGGTTCAGTTCACAGAAACTTCCTCTCTGCTGCCAGAGAGCCTAAAATAACATTCTGGGTGGCCTTTCTTTTTTTGAATGTCCTGTGCAACACAGATCATCTGAGAAAGGCCCTCTGCTCTGTTCTAGGAATTTGATAGCCTGGAGAAGTGACCCATTTGTCCTTGGAGCAGGGGCCCCTTTCCTCTTTGTCCATCATTTCCTATGTGCCAATTCTTTTTCAAGTAGCAATCGAATAAAATTGTGAGGTTGGACCCATGCCAATGGAGAAAAGACAGCTACCACTTGAGTCAGGATGAAATCCTGACTTCCTGGCTCCATGTGCTTTCTTTTAAGGTTTCCCTCACCCTCTTGATCAAGAATAATATCTGCCTTCTCCAGACACTTCAGTTTGAGTCATGGTCTTTTTCTTTTTGATCCTAAATGTGTCTCTAGCATCCTTAATTTCATAACCTGTGAATGTAAGTAATATAAAAACAAATGTGTTGAGAATGACATTTTGCTGCTTAAGATAGCGATATCATCATGAATTATCACAGTCATTCCAGCTACATTCAAAGTCTAAACCATGGGAGTGTATGAAAATGATGGCAACTCACCTGCGGTTTTATAAAATTATTTGTGACCTTTTCCCAAATCAACATGATTTTGGTTCACTTGTATAAATGCAATTAATATTCTGCTCGTTTTAACAGGTCTTCAGAACTTAGCATCACTGACACCATGATGAAAGCACCATTCAGGTCTGGGAACCCAGCACCTCATAGCCTGCAACACTCGCCAGAAGGAGAACAAAGATCTATTCCACCAAAATCCGTAATTCTGGGAAATCTTTAAATGCACTGTCTTAGGGTTTTTGTTGCTGTGAAGAGACACCATGACGATGGCAACTCTTATAAAGGAAACATTTAATTGGGGTGGCTCGCTTACAGGCTCAGAGGTTCAGCCTATTATCATCATTGGTGTAGGAGGGTCTTCTGTCTATGTGTTACTTTCATTGGTTAAATAAAGAGACTGCCTTGGCCTTTTGATAGGGCAGAAAATTAGGTGGGAGGAGTAGACAGAACAGAATGCTGTGAAGAAGGGAAGTGTGGAAGATGCCATGGCTCTTCTCTCCGAGACGGACATTGGTTAGACTCAGGCCGGTAAGCCACAGTTAAGTGGCTATACAGATTATTAGAAATGAGTTAGATCAATATGTGAGAGTTAGCCAATAAGGGACTGGAGATAATGGGCCAGGCAGTAATTTAATTAATCCAGTCTCCATGCGATTATTTCCGGCATAAGCTAACCAGGTAGCCAGGAGCCGGTCGGTGAGCAGCCCGCTGCTCCTCCATACAACACATCATGATGGGGAACATGGAGGCATGCTGCAGGCAGATGTGGTGCTGGAGCTGAGTGTTACATCTTGCAGGCAACAAGAAGTCCACTTACAATGAGCTAAGTTTGAGCAAGAGACCTCAAAGCCTGACTCACTTCCTCCAACAAGGTCACACCTCCTAATAGTGCCACTTTTTTGGGGGACCATTTTCTTTCAAACCACCACATGTACTAACCTTGCTTTTTGGCTTCTGTAGTTCTATTTTTGGCTGTTTGAATCACAATTAATAAAAACTCAGAGACAGATATTGGGGTTCAACCTGAAGACCAGAAAAGTAAAGTAGCTAGCCACTAACTCTAACCTTGACCTTAGACCGAAAATGGTGATCCTGTCTCCAGGAAACCTCAGAATGAGACTGAGAGCTGTCTCCTCCCATTTTATAATCCTCTCTAGTTCTGGGATTAAGAGTGTGCACCACTATTGCCTGGTATCTATGACAAGCTAGTGTGGCTACTAGGATTAAAGGTGTGTGTCATTGCTGCCTGTTCTGTAAGGCTGGCCTGTGTGGCTTTTTACTTTCTGATCTTCAGTCAAGCTTTATTAATTAAAATTCAAATGAAATGCCACTACAACTGTTATTATTAACTGAAGTATGTCAATCCAGGATATGGTTTCTATGCTTAAAAGCTCATCTGGAGAAAGACTTGGAGCTACACTGGGATCCCAAATACCCTGTGTAGTTGTTGGCTAGTTACTAAAACTTTCTATTGGCTTTAACCTGTGTCTGAGTAGTCTTCTCTGGTGGATCCATCACACCATTCATCTCTGCTGTTGGGGTTAATATAAAATCAGACAATGATAAGCTACAATAGGTTCTTTTTTTTTATTAAGTTTTGCTTTATAACCTAAAATTTAGTGTATTTTAGGGAGTGTTGCATGATCTGCTGAGGAAATTACCTATCCCAAAACTATTGAATGGAACATTTGGTAAATGTCTGTTAATTTTGTTTTATTTCCAATGGACTTTGGTTGTTATTTTTGTAAAAATGTTAATTTTTTTATGAATACAGGTGTTTGCCTGCATGTTTGTCTGTGTATAATGCGCTTGGCTGGTGCCCATGGTGGCCAAAGAGGTTTTGGATGCTCTGGAACTGGAGTTATAGGCAGTTGTAATCTGATGTAAAGGTGCAGGGAACTGAACCCAGGCTGTCTGAAAGTGCAGCCAGCACTCTTAACCCAGAGCCGTGCTTCCAGCCCCGGGACGTTTTGATGTTTCTTTGATGATTTTTTTTTTTAAAAGCATTCTTTTCTCTCTCTCTCTGTCTCTCTCTCTCTTTTTTTTTTTTTGAGAAGGAGTCTCTTTGTGTATCCTAGAATGTCCTAGAACAACAACAACAACAACTAAAAATAGACCAGACAAGTTCTGAACTCACATTATCAGCCTGCCTCCAAAGATTAAAGGCCTGGGACACCATGCCAGGCTTTGCCATTGATTTTTTTCAAAACAAAGGTTGGTATAACCTACCAATAAGATTTAGGTGCTGGAGTCACTATGAATGTCACAGTCCTCTGACTTCCAGGAGTATTCCTATTTTCTATTGTTTAAATGTTTTTGGTGTTTTTTTTCTTGTGTTAGGTTGTATGTGTGTGTGTATGTGTGTGTGTGTGTGTGTGTGTGTGTGTGTGTGTGTATTATACTTTTGAAAGATAAGATATTACTGCTGGAAACCATGTGGAAGTCCATAGTCAGTGTGGCTGCCAGCTGAGAAGGGACAGGAAGCTTCTTATTCATTGGTATTGATGACTGCAGACTCATAATGAAGAACAAGAGCCACTGAAGGCTTCTGTGAGCCTCCACCTCCTGAATTGATTGATTAATTAATTAATTAATATTCTAGAAATAATGTTATTAAAGAGGGTCCTAAAAAAAAGATGAGATCTTTCTATGTAGTCCTGGCTGTCCTAAAACATACTACGTAGACGAGGCTGGACTCGAACTGACAGAGATGTGTCTACATCTGCCTCCTGGGTGCAGGGATTACATGTGTGCCAATGCACTGAAATAACCTACTCAAGAAATATGCAGATAACCCCTGAAACCACTTAAAAGTGCATGAGTCCTGTACCAGCCAGCACCCAAGACAGGACTCTTGCCTCAAAGTCTCTTGGTGCTGAAGATCAGGGGTACAGTGTTTTTAAAGGCAAACCCTACAAAGACCATCATTTACATAAATTAGTTGAGGGTCAGAGTAACCTTCAAACATTGTTTCTGGCTGCACATAGAAATTATTTTACACATAACATGATGACTATTTTTAATATATCTCTTTCAGTTATTTTGTTAAGTTTACATAAGTCTTAATTATTTTGGTTAATACATATGGACCATTGTGAGTGTGATGAAATTTTGTTTGTGCTATAACAAACAAAGCTTGCCTGAGGATCAGAGTATGAAGCTAGCCACTAGTTAGTCATAGAGGCCCTGGTGGTGGTAGCACACACCTTTAATCCCAGTACTTGGGAGTCTCATGCCTTTAAATCCAACACTAAAGAGTTGGAGACAGGAAGAAATAGAGGTGGGTGGAGAGAGGAGGCAGGAGGAGACAGGAGCGCAAGGCATTCAGTCTGAGGATTTCATAGAGGTAAGAACTTTAATGGCTGGCTGCTTTAATTCTCTGATCTTTCAGCTTTCACCCCCTAATATCTGTCTCTAGATTTTTATTATTAAGACCAATTAGAGGGGCTGGAGAAATGGCTCAGTGGTTAAGAGCACTGACTGCTCTTTCAGAGGTCCTGAGTTCAATTCCCAGCAACCACATGGTGGCTCACAGCCATCTATAATGAGACCCGGCGCCCCTTTCTGACCCGCGGCACACATGGAAGGAATGCTGTACACATAATAAATACATAAATCTTTTTTTTTTAAAAGACTAATTAGAAATCGCACTACAGGTAAGAACAGTGTAAGTTCCGGTCTCTGACCTCCATCTTTGGAGGCCCTGTCCCTATGCCTGCCAAACCTTGGCTCCTCCCCTGAGGAGGTGCCAGGTAGCCCGCCAAAACCTTGACTACTTCCCCAGTCTATTTAAACTGCTCCTGGGAAAGTCCTGGTATTCCCACCTTCCCAGTTCCCATTGGGCCCCTACTCCCTCAAGCCCACACTACCCAACCCCCTCCTATAGAGCAACATTCTCCACATTCCTCTCCTTACCTGTCTACACCCTACCTTGCCAATCCAGAAGTTCAAGGTCAACTTCTACCTTACCCACCTCCCTCCCCTAAGCCGCTCCTACCTCATCTCCCCCCCTTGGACCCCTTCCCCCTCTGTGCACTGGGCTAGCCCCTTCCAATCCTCCCCAGTCTCCTCCCATACCAGATCCCACCATAGCTCTGCCCTTCTCTGGCCTCTCCAGGAAGTGGTGGGAGTTGATGGCATTATGAAAGTTCATGTTCCCTTTTCTCTCCCAGATCTCTCCCAGATAGAAAAGCAGCTAGGTTCTTTTTCTACTAATCCTTCTGCTTATAGTAAAGAGTTCCATTACAGAGACAAAGCATGGTTTGTTGCCTCTTTCAGGGTATGGAAATGGTCTCAAAAAAAGTAGTTAATTTTAAAAATTCATTCAAACTCAGGCCTTAGCAGCTGCCCTAAGGCCACAGGAAGGGGGACAAGGGAAGCCGACCACAAGGCTCTACCCTGATGGGGCCCAGCCTAAGTCAACCTCACAAACAAGCTGTTAATCACATTGCCCCCATGTGGGCTTGTCCTCTATGCCACACTATGAAGTTCTGGCCCCACCACCATCATCGACAAGTGAAACTGTGCAAGCTTTGAACTTCTCAGCCTTGCAGAGGATTGACGCTGCCCAGACTTGGTATATCCCATCACCCTCTCCGAGCCTAAGGTAAAGCTGCAGGTAGCAGGTAAGTCCATAACTTTTCTTTTGGACACAGGAGCTACCTATTCTGTTCTAACATCTCACTTGGGCTTCATGTTCTCGTCACCAATTTTGGTTATGGGAGTAGACGGGACCCGTTCCCCTCTTAAAACTTTGCCACTGTCCTACATTCTTGCAGGACAATTTTTATTTCATTCTTTCTTAGTAATACCTGCTTGCACATTTACTGGGTTGAGATATCCTTAGCTAACTCCTAGGTCTTTTGAACTTCAATGGACAGGACCTCACATGAAACCTGCCTTCTCATCTCCCCCAAGGAACAGATGCCTAGCGTCTCCAGGATGACAGTACACAGGATGCCTTTCCAGCCACACCTCTTGCTGAGCATGGACCCACCAGGTCTGCACTGGAAACTGAGAAACCCATATTCCATCTTGACTTTTACTTACGGATGCCCACTCTAAGTGGTTGTATGGAAAAAAGCAAAGATATGGGAATTTATCATCTTTTGTGATAGAATATAGAGTTTACAATTCTATGCATGCCCTGTGGCTGGGCCCCCTAGTTCTAGAAACAGGCGAGTTTCCATTGCAAAAATTGGGGTTGTAAAATTAAGGCTTCTTGAAAAATTTCTTTAAAAAAGTATGGTCTTTGGAAAACCTGGGGAATCAGATTCTTTGCCACAGGAAGGGACCCTGAGATAGAGTTAATCATTCCCACTCAAAAATCAGCCAGGATTGCTGGTTATGCTTAGACACCTGGCTCCCATACTACTATGTAGGAATAGGAGGAACTGACCAGACCATCAATTCATTGACTGACAAAATCATTGCGACTGGGGACAGCCCAAATTAATGTTAGAGGACTTACAAGGGTCTTAAACTTGTCTAATATCCAAAACTTTTAACCTAGACATTTCCCCTTATTCTGATGCCGGCTATTCTGCCTTACAGATTTATTCATCTGGACAGGAACAATATTACCAAACCTCTGAGACTGTTTGGTGGGCATGAACCAATGGTTGACTAAACGTGCCTCTTCTGATACTTTCCAAACTAAGTAGACAGGTTAGTCAGGACCAAGAGATATTAAAATTTTGTTTCTGAATTAAAACAACAGTTAGGCTCCATGACTGAAATGGGCCTACAAAGTTGGAGAACCTTAGATTTTCATGAGATAAAAGAAGCTAGGTATGGCTTCGGGAGAAACCTTTTGTTTTTATGCTAATTGATTAGGAGTAATTAGGGGAAATCTTGCAATCATTGGGTAAAATCTTGGTACAGTCTCTGTTCTCTTGGTCACTCTGGCTACCCTGCTATCTGAACCACGACTAAGACAGCTCTGCTAGTCATTGACTGCATTAAGGACCTGGCAAGGCAACTTCAGGAAGGTTTGTTTAGACTCCTTTTCAGAGTTCAGACCATCATGGTGAAGAAGACAGCTGGTCACATGCATGCACAGTCAGCCAGCAGAGGGAGATGCAAGCTCATGCCCAGCTCCCAGCAGCAGCATGAGCAGCCAGCTGGTCAGCCATGCAGTCAGCCAGCAGAGGGAGATGCATGCTCATGACAGGCTCCCTTTCTCCTTTTGGAGTAAGGCTCCCCACACAGGGAATGGTGGAGTCCAGTTTGAGGGAGGCTGTCTCACCTTATTAGTCTAACCTAGATATTCCCTGTCATGGGTACAGCAGGCTTTCTCTTGGCCAACAACTGGCTCCTAAATCATGACACAGAGACTTATTAGTTATAAATGCTTGGCCTTAGTTTAGACTTGTTGCTGGCTAGCTTTTTTAACTTAAACTGGTTTCTCTTCACCTATGTTTTGCCTCAGGCTTTTTAACCTTTCTTTCATTCTGTATGTCCTACTGTGTGTCTGTCTGTCTGGCAGCTGCCTGGCCCTGGACTTCTTCCTATCTTTCTCCCTCATTCTTGCTTCTTCCTCTCTCTCTGGAGTTCTCTTCCTACTTATTCTGTCTTCCAGCCCCACCTATCCCTCTACTGTCTAACTATTGGCTGTTCAAGTTTTAGTAAAACAATCAGGTGCCTTAGATAGGCAAGTGAAACAGCAACACACTAAACAAATGCAGCATAAACAAATGTAACACCTTTACATGGTTAAACAAATGCGGTGTAAAAAATATAACACATCTTTACATAGTTAAAGTATGAAAATGGGGGAGGTGCTGTGGGAGCTCCACAAAATTCTTTTTTTGTTTTCTTTTGGGTGTTTTTTAAAATTTTATTTTATTTTATTTATTTTGATTTTTCAAGAACAGGGTTTCTCGATGTAACAATCCTAGCAGTCCTAGAACTAGCTCTTGTAGAACAGGGTGGCCTTGAACTCACAGAGATCTACCTGCCTTTGCCTCCTGAGTGCTGGTTTTAAAGGCATGTGCCACCACTGCCTGGTCTTTTTGTTGTTGATGATCTTATTAGTCTAACTTGGATATTACCTTTCATGGGGCCAGAGGCTTGTCTAAGTGAGTCAAGGAGCTAGCTGGGAAGGAATCTGAGAGTTGTTCATCTGGGGGAAGAGAGAAGATCACAGAGACAAGTCCTGAGCCTGAGCCCAAGACCATGAGACCTTCCAAAGCAGAGGTGACATTTCTGGGACATCAATGGACTACTCCATCGCCCTGTGGACCACAGCCTGGAACTTTCACACACTGTGTAAACAAGTAGCAAACACAGTAGTGACAAAAGGAATTTGAAATATTTGCTCAGGATCATGAACTGTTTTACTGAGAACCGGGATCCAAGTGTTGCATTTACAGTAGAGACTTGCTTTCTCTGCAGAGCTGGCTGAAGTTGTGTATTTGCATTTTAGAGACTTATATATCTGAATTTTAGAGTGTGACAAATAAATATTTATTTAACAAAAAATACTGTTGCCATTCACTTCTTCCTTTGTAGTCCAACGAGGGCAGACGCCCAGAAATCTAGGAGTCTAAACCACGTAGCCTATATTTACCCCTCTCTTTCTTGTAACTTTAATCTCCCATCTTCTGTCTCTCCTTCCGCCAGTTCCCTCCTAATTTTATATTAACTAAACCTTTACTTTTGACTGTCTGTAACTCCAGTTCCAGAGCATCTAACACCCTCCCTTGGCCTCCATGGCACCAGGCAAACATGCAGGCAAACCCTGTATTCATAAAAAATTTAAATTTTTACAAAAATAACAACCAAAATCCATTGGAGAGAAAATGTAATTAACAGACATTTACCAAATGTCCCATTCAATAGTTTGGAATAGGTAATTTTCTCAGCAGATCATGCAACAAATATTGCCAAGACAGGGTAAAATGGTTTTGAAAAATTTCCTGCTTCTGAAAATGGTCTGTCAAGTAATATTATCTCCCTTCTCAGGCCTTCAAAGGGGTTGAAGATTAGAAAGTTGTAGTTACCATCATCTTATGATTTAGCCAAGCCATTTCTAATACAAGACATAGACTCCTTAGGATAGAATGTTTATTAAAACATTTAGCATATGTTCCTTGCTTAATATTGTTTATGCTTGTTTTAATTCTAATCTTATACTTGATATCTGTTCCTAGAATATATAGTTTGTAATTGGTTTAGAACTCTCTTATTCAAACAAATGGGGGAGGTGCTGTGGGAGCTCCTTCAGCCAATAGCCTTTAAGATACCAGCCCACTTGGGTGTGGTCTCTCATACTATAAATGTAGCTGCAAACCATGTGCAGCTCTCTTGCTTCTGACTCTTGCTTCCAGCTGCTGGACTCTGTTCCTGTTCCCCATTTGTGCAGAGGACTGTGATCTAAGACAGTGATCTGTTAGTCTCCACTAAATAAATAACCCTTTATTATCCATAATTCTCAACTAGTGTGGGATTGTTTTGTATCTTCTTCCATCACTGAACTGCCTTCCTCCTCCTCATTGGATGCTATAGAGAGATCAGACATGAAAGGGTAGAGGTGATGGAGAGGTTACTCATTTTGTAGAGGGAGGCAGCAGGTGACCAGCAAGGGTGGAAAACTGTGTTGGACTTTTATGTTTTATGCTTAGTGGGGGACTTCTGTGGTTTTCTGTAGGTCACAGAAGTATGTGTGTCCACACAATGTCTCTGGATGAGGGTCAGCATTCAGGAACTGAGGATTGGTTCCACCTCCTGGGGAGTCAGCCCTCATGTGGAGGTGCTGGGTGAACCAAAACAGAAAAAAAAATATGCCTTTCTAACTGGATGGGCAGACAAACATTACAGACAACACGAAAGAAGGAAAGAGAAGAGGTCCCAACACTTGTCTGCAGAAGGGACTGAAAACACATCAAGGGGCCTTCTCACCAAAATACACCTTCTTAGGGGTGCTGTTCAACACCACAAGTGAGGAGAGGGAGACAACAGAACCTGTTTGGGCACCAGGTGTGGCTGGATCCTAATGGCTCCTTGGGGGAGGGGATGAGAAGGTGAGGTGTCAATGGTATAGATACCAGGAGTCAGGTTAAAGGCAAACAGCAAACTCATTTATTCAGTAATGGGGAGAGCCTTATATCCTCCTCCTAGCACCCAGGCCTCATTCCAATCCATTGACAACATGTGCTTGCCTCTCATTGGCTAGGCACGATCAGGACCTCTGTCAATGCCTGTTGCTAGACCCTTAGGCAGACTCCAGGTTGGCTCATCTCGGCCTTGTCGACCTTGTCTTCCTCCTGGGTGAATGACAGCAGGAGTTTTTCTGTCCTCCTAGATGTGGCATCACCATAGATTTGCAAGTGTTTTATTGAGAATATTTGCATCAATGTTTATTAGGAAGATTTGATATGTAATTTTCTTTCTTTTTCTGTTTTGTCTTCATTGCATTTTTGTATCAGGACAATTTGTCTTAATAAAAAAGATTTTACTAGCATTCTGATTTTTCCCATTTATGAAATTGTTCGAGAAACAATATTAATTCTTCATGAAGAACTCTTCAGTGAATGGGCATGGACTTTAGGAGATTTTTAAAATTTATTTATGTATTAAATTGGTTGTTTTGATATTAGTTTTTTATTATGATTTTTTTGAGATGGGGTTTCTCAGTAGCTATGGAGCCAGTCCTGGAACTCAGTCTGTAGACCAGGTTGGCCTCAAACTCAGAGATCTGTTTGCCTCTGCCTCCCGAGTGCTGGGATTAAAGGCATGTGCTACCACCACCTGGCAATACTACATTTTTTTTTCAAAGAAAGACTAGACAAAGTTATTCAATGAAGTCTGTGGTTCCAAAGTGGGAAAGGCTCCATGATACATGAACCACTTGTAATTTGCTTTAAACAAAAATAAAAGCATAAAACAAACAGAAACGATAGGCACAAAATATACTAAAAAGTAAGCGAGACTTTAGAGCTAAAGACACAGACATGATCATCCCTGACACTGTGGAAAGCAAAGATGAGGATGCTCTGGAATGGGTACCTATTACGTTCTGTAGAAATGGGAATCCATATTCAAAAGAGGGAAAGCAGTGGGTTCTTACTACTTTTATTTCATCCCTTTTGATTAATACTCCATTTGTTTCACTGTGTGTCTGTGAAGTAGTCTACAATCTCCTTTAAATTTTGGTTTGTTGCAACATTGCCAGTAGAACATCTCAAATAAAAAAGAATTATTTACTGTGAATGTGAAAATTTAATTATTTAAAAATTTTTCTCTACTATATGTATTTTGGTCATATTCTTTCCCCACAACAACTTCTCCTGACACCCCTTCTCTATTCACTGAGCAGAAGGTGGATACTGAGAAATATAATGGTGAGGCCAAGCCTGGTGCTGCGGGAAACACAAAGGAAAAGCCTGATGCTAAATGGATTAAAGGGAGTGGTGACCTCAGGGCAAGACCCCACCCAGCTAACCCTACAATCCCTGGGGGAAAAAAAGGCCAGAGGGATATCCAAGGTCTAAACAAAAATGGAAAATTTATGCAAATGAGAGTCAAGGAGGAAGTCAGATTCCAGCCCCAGCAAGCAGAAAAATTTGACAGCTTGGATTTGTTCTGGATTTAGAGAAAAAAAGGATAAAGAAAAAGGATTGTGAAATCTTCCTCTGAAGTTAAAAAAACCACTGAGGCCAGGTATGTGTTGGGGGAGGCTGCTTGTTCATTTCCCAGCCACCCAGACACTCGAAATAACCACACAGAAATCTGTATTAATTTCAATACTGTTTAGCCAAGCTAGTTCTCACATCTTAAATTAACCCATTTCTATTAATCTGTATATCGCCACGTGGCTGTGGTTTACCAGCAAGGTTCCAGTGCATCTGTCTCCTGCTGGTGGTTACATGGCTTCTCCCTGACTCTGCCTTCTCTCTGTATATATCTCTTTCATCTTGGCTTTACTCTGTTAAACCATTGGCCAAAATCAGCTTCTTTATCAATCAATGACAATAAAACATTATTCACAGCATACATCCCCTCTCACATCAGGCATGTGTCAGGGGTGTCTCAGGATGGAGGCTTGGAGAGGACATTATGTGAAGCTGTGAAGGTGAAGACTGAGTTGCATTGGAGATCCCAAGATGTTGGAGATGCCAGAGCTGCAGGATACTTCCCAAGGGAGAGCAGCAGACAAGATGTGGAACCATCTCAAGAGAGAGGTGTGTGTTGCATTCAACAAAGCTGGAAGGATTTGGAGATCTAAAGAGCACTTTGTCATCAGACATGGAAATGCGGAATATAGAGTTTCTTTGCTGGTTTTGGATCTTGCTTTTGTTATTCTTTTGCTGTCACTTTAAGAACTAGCCACGCCCACCCCAGCCACTTCTGACCTCCCCCACCGCCATCTTCTCTTGGCTCTTGTGTGTTTGTCTCGTGTCGTGTGTACGTGTGTCTTTGTTCTCTCTATGTTTTTCTTATGTCTCTCTGTTTTTTTCTTCTTTAAGCAATAAATGTCTCCCTCTTCTTTAAATAATACTATGTCCTGTGAGCCTTTTATCTGCCGTAACCGCCTGCCTGACTCCCCCGGCTGCATGGTGCTGCCACCCTGGAGATCTTACAGGGACCCAGAGCCATTCTTGTCAAACTAGAAGCTGCTCCCATCATCCCATCATCATATTATTTTTAAAGAACAATAGCTTTAGTTGGGTATTTCCTCAGTATTCTTTCTTTTCTCCCTTTTGGAATGGTAATATATATCCTGCGTCATTGTGTTTTGGGAACATGTGCTCTGCTTTTGCTTTTACAGGAGTTTATAGTTAAGAGATTGCATTGAGTCTTAGAAAAGACTTTAAACTTTTAAGCAGTGTTGAGACTATAAAAGACTATTGTTGCAGGGAGGCGCTTGTTCGGTCCCTGCTAGCTTAGATTCAAAATAATCACACAGAAACTGTATTAATTAAATCACTGCTTGGCCCATTTGCTCTAAGCATCTCTCTCACTCCTTCCTTCTCCCAACATTCAGTTCTGTCTTTTCCGCCTACCCATAGGTAGAGGTTGTTACACTCTGGGGGACCTGAGCAGATCTGTTACTATTTCCCTGGGGGAAAGCCTCCCCTGCTGGAGCAGAATTGTTACATTGGGGAAAATTTCCCAGGAGCAGAGGGGCAAGCTGCTCTGTTGCTTACTGTGACTTTGTGATATTCTTTGGCTCCAGGCTGCCAGGATCCCTTTCCATCTGAGCTGCAATGCTTACAGAAGTGGGGGGGGGGAGGAAGAAGAGGAACTAGGCAATAGGGCAAGTCTGTGACAACACCAGGACCCAGCTGCTTAAAGGGGCATTATAACATAATTAGGAAAAGAAATGTCCGGGATGGAGGTCAGTTAAAAGGTAAAGTTCTTTTCTTTCTTTCTTTCTTTCTTTCTTTCTTTCTTTCTTTCTTTCTTTCTTTCTTTCTTTCTTTCTTTCTTTCTTTCTCTTTCTTTCTTCTTTTTTTAGATCTATTTATTTATTATGTACACAGTGTTCAGCCTCCATGGATGCCTGCAGGCCAGAAGAGGGCACCAGATCTCATTACAAGTGGTTGTGAGCCACCATGTGGTTGCTGGGAATTGAACTCAGGACCTCCGGAAGAGCAGTCAGTGCTCTTAACCTCTGAGTCATCTCTCCAGCCCAAAGGTAAAGTTCTTAACTATTACACTATGATCCAAATAAACCCTGCAGATTTAAAAGGAAAAAATGAACACAACGACCATACTCCCAAGGGTCAAATAAGGGGGGCGGTAAGAGGCAGCAGAAGTCTGTTTTCATTTCATCTGGAGAGTGCAGATTCTTCCACATTGACTTGACCTTGACAACACATATCAGCACCATCTGTGAAAACACCAAAACAGCATTTGTCACAACTGCTGGTGGAGGTGGGGAGGTGGTAGGGAGATGGTGGGGAGGCATAAACGGCCCAAATGGAGATTCTGAGAGGATTTGTTCGCTTGTTGAGAAAGGATCTCACTATGTCACCCAGGCTGGTGGCACACTCAAGATACTGCCCTCGTCAAAGTTAGGATTCTGAGGAAGGTTTTCTTGGAGATGAGTCTTCAGTCGCATGAAGATCCACTCTAAAGGAGCTCCATTCCAAGACTGCGAGCAGACCTTGAGCATAGCATCTGGATCCTCCTCCTTAGTGGTGCACATGTTGGACACTTGAATGCCCAGTAGTTCATGAGCCTGGCATGCGCACTGAGCACTGTTGGTTGCCTGAGGTGATTGGTGCTCGAGGTCCGCTCTGGAGCATGCGCACATGGTGTTGCTTGGCAACGACAGTCCTGCCAACTGCCTAAGAGGTGGAGGGATGTTAAACCTTGGGGCTTCTCTGTGGGCGCATCCTGGCAAGATTCCGAGACTTGGTTGGCTCTGCATTAGTACAGGCAGTGGCTAAGACTGGGACCTGGAGGTCCTGGGCTCCTGTGAGCACTGAGGCTGTTAATGGGAGAAGGGAAGGCAATATAAGCAAGAGTCCAGGGTGAAGGGCCACAGTCTGAGTCATGAAGAAGATCTTCAAGGGCCATTTGCCCTGGTACTTCCTGGGCTTTAGACATGGCAATGCCGAGAACCAAGAATGGCACAGGTACCTCACTGGCTACACACCTGTGAAAAAGATACACAAAGCTGCAAGTATGGGAGACATAACCCAAGTGCAGAGGATGCTCGAATTTGGGGATGTGGACGTGAACATTACAGATCGGAAGAAAAGGTCAGAGGGCGCAGGGTGGGGGTGGCCCGGAACAAGTGTGAGTGAGTGGCAGCAGGGTCCTAGGAGAGGACTTGGCCCCTAAGTACTGGAGAAAGGAGGCCGAGGCCTGCTTTCACAGGGGATGCTGGGCTTTCTCCCCACCACGGGCTCCTCGGCACTTGAAACCTGCACACCCTGAGTCCAGGCATTCTTAACAAGAAGCAAAGCAAAAACTAGTTGGTCTTCAACCCCCATATATTCTGCTTTCAGAGCGCTTTATTGACAGTTTAAATGTGATTTCACCCCCACAGTTGAGATACACAGCATTTTCTGTAAGTGTGCGCATGAACGAACTGCTAGTTGCTATGGGTCCCAGGGCAAAACTTCATTCAATAAAATCCCATATTCATTTTGTTTCCCGGGAACCAGGGATTACCTGTTACTTCCTGAGGAACCTTACATGGCAGCTGAAGTGAGAGGCTAGTTTATCTTCAGAGTCGGTTAGTCAGCGTGGCCATCTTCACTTACCGCCTGCTGATTCAGCTATTAGTCCTTCTGGTCTCTAAATGGGATAGTTGGATTAGCAGCGGTCTTCATCACAGGGTGCGCGGCGCTCTCAACTTCTCACAAGAGCTTCACTAGCTTCAGTTGCTTCCTTGATGCTGAAGCGGGTTGTTTCCTGGAGACTTTCTCAGTTTTGAGACTATGGAAGCCAAGGTACTTGCCAGTGTGGCCCCTACTTCAGGCAGACCTCAGTCAACAAGGCATTCCAAATCTCCCATTGTCTCTGCTGTGATGTCATCCCCGTCGGGATCTCCCAGGTTTAACTGTGCTCTATTCTCAGCACTGCTGAGTAGAAAGAAAGAAATTCCAATAGGTTCCTCTGCTTTGGAGGAAAAGTGAGGGCAGTCTCTGTTGCTGCCTGGTCTTACCATCTTAATGCTGTACAATAGCTCTCAGGCATGCGCTCTCTCACAGGACTGCTCTGCACTACGCCTGCGCTCATGGCCAGGCTGAAATGGTGACTCTCTTGCTATGGTATGACTGCAACATTGAAGCCCGAGACAGCGATGAAAGTACAGCTCTGATCAAGGTAATTAGGAGCCAACAAGTGCAGCCACAGACGGAGGAGTATAACTCCCGGATATCCCGGTGTGGGAGGCAGACATGAGGCCCGTGTCCTGTAGTACTGGAGGCAGAGGCTTGAGGACTGTGCCACACAAACCCAGGACATGCAAGTCTCATTACAGCCTGGGATACATGAGAACACAGTCTCAAAACTTTTTTTTTTTAAACTTGAATAAAAATGAATTTCTGGCATTTAAATGTAACTATTTGGTGGAACTTGTGGAAAAATTATCTCGAATTTCTTTAACTGACAGTCTTTCCCTTGGGACAATCCCCACAGGCAGCACAGCGTCAGCACGAGGAATGTGTAAAGATTCTCCTGGAAAATGGCGCCGACACAAATGCCATTGATGCAAATCAAAACACCGCTCTCCACTATGCCGTCTACAACAATAGCACCTCCATAGCCACCAAACTTCTGGAGTTCAGAGCAGACACTGAAATTAAGGCAAAGGTAACACCCACCTTTATTTCCCAGATAGTTTAAAAGCATTTTCCTGGAACCATTTTCACATATAGAGGCTAAAGTGAGCATTCCTTAGCTAAAAATGGTTTATGTATCCACAAAAAATATTTGAGAAAACTGTATTAATATAAGTTAAATGTAAAATAGATGCATGTTTTAAATATGTCACCAAAGGTTTCTTTCTGAATTGTCTTAGTTAGGATTTCTATTGCTATGAAAAGACACCATGACCACAGAAACTCTTATAAAGAAAAACGTGTAATTGAAGTAACTTAGAGTTTCAGAGGTTTGATCCATTTTCATCATGGTGGGACACGGTGGCATGCAGGCAGATGTGATGCTGGAGAAGGAACTGGCAGGACGTGAATGAATGTCACACTATACCTAGCTCGAACATTTAAAGACCTCAAAGCCCACCCCATAGTGACACACTTCCTCCAATAAAGCCACACCTATTCCAACAAGGCCACACTGCCTAATATTGCCACTTCTTATGAACCTATGGGGACCATTTTCTTTCAAACCACCACAATTGGTAAAACATGGTTTTAACAAAAGAAAAAGATTAGTTGTGCAATGCTCCCTTTGTTCATGACCACATAGACACAGAAAAGACTCAAAGGCTGGAGTCAAGGTGAGCCAGAAACAGTTGTCCACACTGAAGCTTTAGGAGCTACTTTCTGTGAGCCTGTGGAACTGCCCATGGACAAGACATCACTTATATAAATGCCCATGTGTTCTCCAGCTTGCTGGGGACACCTGGGCATTTCATCATGTCACCAAATCTTCCTCTAGGTGCAGAAATTTGCATCTTCTACTTGCAGCATCGTGTTAACAAGATTTTATGATTTCCAGCATTGTTTCTATTCATAGATAAAGGTAATATGGACCTGTACTTCATGGCCACCTCTTAGAAACAACTCTGCAGTGTCTAAAATGGTGCTAGAACCACAGAGAATTTTGAACAGTGCATTTTCAGGGGTACCGCACTCTAGTTCTGTGTGAGGTAAAATGCACTGAGCTTTCTACTGAAACATCAACCTGTGTCCTGGTTGTTAAACTCCTGGGTAGTTAAACTCCATCAGAAGCCTGTGAGTGTTAATGCAGAGCTTTAGTGACCCATGTTAGAGGAGCATCACATGACCTTGGAGTAGCGAATGTGTCTCTCCTGTAACTTGGTGGAAACATATTGTTGGAACACTCTAGACAATGTTCTGTATCCTTCAACAAAAAGGAATTATTCAAAATACAGATGGCATCCTCCCCCAGGGTCTGTGACATACAGCCTTGCAGCGTTCTCCAAATGCAGTTGCAGTGTTTTCTGTGGGGCTGGTATTTGCGAGGGGTAAAAACTGCTAGAGAGAGGGTAATCTTCATTCATTCAAGAAAAATACTTCAATCCTTTACCACTATGCTTCCTGACTCTGTGGAGAATATAGCTTCAACCTCAGGCAACTCCTGGATCACTCAGCACAGCCTTACATGGTGTACACCATGCTGACAGCAACAGTTCTGGCTGGGTTTGGAGAAGATTGACCAACTCTGAAGAGGGACGGTCACTGTCTTTGTTAGGGTTTCTATTGCTATGGTAAAAGACCCAGACCAAAAATCAAGGGGAGGAAAGGGTTTGTTTGACTTACACTTCAACATTGCTGTTCATCACCGAAGAAAGTTAGGAGAGGAACTCAAGTAGGGCATGATGTTGGAGGCAGGAGCTGATGCAGAGACCATGAAGGGGAACTACTTACTGACTTACTTACCATTGCTTGTTTAGCTCACCAGTAAACAGAAATTTCTGTTCTGCCTGGTCCCACAGCTGTTCAATCCCAACAAAAAACACAGAGGCTTCTATTCTGGTTGGTCAATTAGCTCAAGTTTATTATCAACTAGCTCTTACAACTTAAATTAACCCATAATTCTTATCTATGTTTAGCCATATGGCTTGGCACCTTACTCAGTGAGGCATTCTCATCTTGCTTCCTCTGTATCTGGTTGGTGACTGCAGACTGAGCCTTTCTTCTTCTCAGAATTCTACTAGTCTGTTTGCCCCACCTATACTTCCTGCCTGGTCACTGGTCAATCAGCATGTTATTGAACCAATACCAGTGACAAATCTTTTCAGGGTACAAGAGCATTCTCCTATAGCACTCACCTCCTTATAGAACTCAGGACCACTCATCCAGGGATGACACCATCTGCCATGGGCTAGGCCCTTCCTCATTGGACTAAATGAGAAAGTGCATTAGAGTTGGACCTCAAGGTATTTCCTCAGCTGAGACTCCTTCCTCTGATGACTCTTAACTTGTCAAATTGACACACAACCACATCACTGTTAAGCCACAATCCTTCCTTTGTTATTTATCCCCAAGATCTTTAAAACTTTAAAAGTCCCACAGTCTTTACAAATTCAAACATATTAAAATTTCAGCTCCCTTAAAATAGCTGATCCCAGTCCCCAGCAGCAGGCCAATAAGAGAGGGACCTGCAGGTGGGCTGCACTACCACCCCTGACATCCACTGAATTCTGTAACCTCTACAGCCCATTCTACTGCCCAAACCCACCAACCACATTATTCTCTCGACCAAACATCCACTGCAACATCAGCAGCCCCTATGTACTCAAGTACCACCTCTACCAGTTGGAAGAACAGCAGCAAATGACTGCTCTCTCAGCTAAGCTGCCCCCAAACTATAGGTCCTAAGTCCCAGAGCACATCCTGTGCCCCTTCCCCTCCCATCTTAGACCCAGCAAGGCAGCTGGGCCCTACCCCTGACTCTGGTGGATCTCCACTGTTCTGGAACAGTTCCTAGCAGCTGGCCAACAGATGAGAGACCTGCAGGCAAGCTGCACCCCAACACCCACTGGACTCTGCCACCCAAACCCACCAACTCCATCAACCTCCCCTTAGTCAATTCTTCACTGCAACAACATCAGCTCCATGCAAGCACCACATACTCTGGCTGGAAGAACAGTCTCTACTGGCACAGGTACAGACTACACTGGCAGGAAGAACAGACTCTGTAGGCACAAGTAAAGCCCACACAAGCTGGAAGAGCTGTAGAATACACTGTATTTAGGCCTCCAAACCACCACAAACCTCAACTGAGACAACCCTAGTAGACCTGAGGATCAACCAACCACCAGAACCCTTGGCTATTCAGACTAAAAGACAATAAAGGAAACAGACAATAAAGGAACAAAAGATGCATCTAATAAAGATATCACAAGAATCAACACTTGTACCTATATTTATCCCAAACCTAGATGGGTAAACAACAGTGTAAAAATATGTAACATAAAAGTTTACATAGTTACAACCAATCTAGTGGTCCTACAACAGCAAGACCTGAACATCCCAATGCAGATGAAGCAGAAAAAAACAACCTTAAAAATAACTTTATGAAGATGATAGAGGCCCTTAAGAAGGAAATGAAAAATTTCCTTAAAGAAATCAAAGACAAACAAAACATGGAAAAAATCAATAAGTTCCTTAAAGAAAGACAAGAAAGGCAAGAAAAAAATCAAAAAGGCAAAGGAAACAGTTCAAGACTTGAAAATTGATATAGAGGCAATAAAGAAGACATAAACGGAGGGACCTCTGGAATGGAAAATCTGTGTAAGCAAATAGGAACTACAGATGCAAGCATCACCAACATCAAGAGATGGAAGAGAGAATCTCGGGCATTGAAGATATGATAGAAGAAATAGTCATTGGTCAATGAAAATGTTAAATCCAAAAAATTCTTAACAGAAAACATCTAGGAAATCTGGGTCACCATAAAAAGACCAAACCTAAGAATAATAAAGATAGAAGGAGAAGAATTTTAGCTCAAAGATATAGAAAACATACTCAACAAAATCATAGAAGAAAACTTTTCCAACCAAAAAAGGACATGCCTATGAAAGTACAAGAAGCTTGCAGAATACCAAATAGACTAGACCAAAAAAGTCCCCCCTTGACACATAATAATCAAAACACTAAACATACATAGTAAAGAAAGAATATTAAGAGCTGCAAAGGAAAAGTCAAATAACATATCAAGGTAGACCTATCAGACTTACACCTGACTTCTCAGTGAAGCTCTGAAAGCCATGGACAGATGTTTTGCAGACTCTAAGAGACCATGGATGGAAGCTTAGACTACTATAACCAGCAAAACTTTCAATCACCATAGACAGAGAAAACAAGATATTTCATGACAAAACCAGATTTAAAAATACCTATCCACAAATCCATCCCTACAGAAAGTATTAGAATGAAAACTACAACACAAGAAAGTTAGCTGCATCAATGAAAACACAAGCAATAAATAATCTCACATCAGTAAAACCAAAAAGGGACACACACACTATCACCAAAATCAAAAAATAATAGGAATTAACAATCAGCGATGATTAATATCTCTTAATATCAATGGACTCGATTCACCTATAAAAAGACACAAACTGATGGAATGGATACAAAAACAGGAGCCATTCTTCTGCTTCATACAAGAAACACTCCTCAAATTTAAAGACAGGCATTCCCTCAGAGTAAAGCATTGAGAAAAGAGTTTCCAACCAAATGGACCTAAGACTCATGGACCTAATGCTGACCTAAGCTGGTGTAACTATCCTAATATCTAGCAAAATAGACTTTAAACTATGAAAAATGAAGAAGGATATTTCATATTCATCATAGGAAAAAAATCCATCAAGATGAAGTTTCAATTCTGAACATTTACATTCCAAACACAAGGGCACCAACATTTGTAAAAGAAACATTACTAATGCTTAAATCACATACAAACCACACACACTAATAGTGGGAGACTTCAACACCCCACTCTCACCAATGGACAGGTTTGTCAGACAGAAACTTAACAGAGAAATAAGGGATCTAACAGATGCTATGATCCAAATGGACTTAACAGACATCTATAGAACATTCCACCCAAACACAGAATATACCTTCTTCTCAGCACCTCATGGAACCATCTCTAAAATT